ATGGCGGAGGGTTGACATTCGGCAATACACCCAAGAAATCAGGAATGTCATCCAATCCCCAATTCTCAATGCCGCTGGCACTGATAAAGATTTCACTGTCAAGATTATGATGTTCATCCAGTTGAGTAGTCATGTTAAAGTTATTAGGCACCATATTGTGCAGACCTGAAGCTTCAAAGTTATTGATCATTCCACCTTGCATATTAGTGGCAGCGTTATTGCATCGCGCAAACCCTTGATAGTCTTGAGACTCTGGTGTATGATTCACAAAACCTGGAAGTTCGTGATGCTGTGGTGTATGATTGTCAAGGTCAGGAAACCCATGTTGTGATATATGATTTTGGAAACCTTCGAAATCATGTTGCTGAGGTGTATGAATCTGAAAACCTTGAAAATTTTGTTGCTGGGGTGTATGATTCAAGTAGCAAACCTGTAAGCAAACCAAGTATATGAGTCATGTCATGCAGAATTATAGGAACACATATCTAATAGCTACACAGAGAGTGGAGATTTCCAACGGTCAAGAAGTTACTTTAATAAAATGCCTAAGAACACTTACATAATTATTGTTCACTAGAATTATAAGAAACTCCACTGCACATTATATGGATGATAATATTGAACAAACCTTACTTTAAGGAGATTGAATATTTTGTTTTATTTCTCTTTCTAAGGATGATAACATTGAACAAACCTTACTTTGAGAAGATTGAATATTTTGTTTTATTTCTCTTTCTTTTAATAACAGAAATCAGAACAATCTGCACTCTAAAAGGTGGCTCTCATCTCTCAGTGACTTGAGGTGAAAGAAAGCTAAGGCTGTTGGTGGTTCTTTTGTTTGTAGGCATAAGAACATGTTTGTATAAAAGTAACAACTGGCAATCTGGCATAGATTTCGGCCTACTTGCTACTCATCCTTTTAGATTTACAACAATAACTCAGCAAACATTGGTTTCCCAAGTTATTTTTTATTTGGCTACCAATTTATTTAAATACAAGGTTGGCAAGAAGGAAATATAAGAGAAAATAGACCTCCACATCTCCTACAGAGTTTGGCACCGCAAATGTGCAGGTGGCATCACTATGCCTCGTGATAGGCGGTGCTGTTAATGGACTTGTTGCATCATCTTCTACGTCAAATTGTTGCAACAGCTGACCAAGTTCTTTAGAAAATGACCCAAGACTGTCTTCCTGCAAATCAATGAAATATTGTTATTCAATCTAAAGAAGAGATCCCAAATCATTTTAGGACTAAGGTTTTGTGATTATTGTTGTTGTTGTAATCTAGAGAGAGAGAGAGAGAGAGATACACACAGGCACTGAAGAAGTTGGAGTTGGTTCAGAGAGATCGGCTTTCCATTCACAAAGCATTTGCTTAACTTGCTCTTCCAAAGTAGCAACATCACCGGCCCGACTCTCTTTCATGGCACCCTGAAGTTCATTGAACACTGATTGAAGACCCTCAATTCGATTCTTCGCTTGATCCTTTAAGAGCCGGTGAGAAGGTTGTTTGCAGTTCTTTGAATCTTTTCCCATCTTCTCTCTCACTATCCTCAGATGTCAACTTTACATGCTACAAATTGTTCAACCTAATTTCAACAAGGAAAAAAAATTAATAACACTATTCTTTCACACACAATCGTAGCAACAAAATCTAGTTTGAGGACAAGGAGAGGTTTACAGTTAAGAAACACCAGTGAAAAAAAAAGAAAGAAAAAGCAATGATATTCTTAATTTAACTTTTTGCACTCTATTCTGTGAGTGGTCTGGCAGTCCAGGTACATGGGGATATTAGGTGTCTAACAATAAGATGGCAACCATTCTTTGCAAAATTGAAAGCGAGACAATTACTAAGAAGTTGAAAGAATAATGTTAAGGATGAGAGTAAAAAGTAAATGGCAAAACCAAAGCAACATGGAGCACAAACTTAGGGAAATACAAAAAGAGCTTATTCGCCTTTAATAAAACCTTTCCCATATTATTCAAACTTGTCATCAGATATCCTGTTACTTATGTCCTAGTCAATCATACAGAGTAGGTAAGATAAACATCTTGGGGAGTAAAGAATATATAACCAAAAGCAAAAAAGCATAGAGCACACTTTACTTTGCAATTGATTTCAATTATTGCACTAAGATAAAGCCAATATTATTCAGATCGATAACAGGGGTAATCTAATATTCAGTAGTTATCAAATCTAGCATTAAAATGATGTAAAGTGGATGTTAGCACTAACAAAGTAACAAGTACTTCAAATAAAAATATCACCTTTTTTTTATATTCTATAATAGCCCCAATTTTCGGGATCAATAGTATGTTAACACATCCACCTTCGCCCTTCAAAATTATTAGATAATCTTAATTTATCTTAGCTTAAATTTTCTGTAATAAATCATCTTTCATATAATTTAATTTGAACTTATTTTGTCTTAAATAAGTCAAAATAAGTTGAGTGAAAAGGGGCCTAACAATTGTTCAGTGTAATTCATTAAAAAACCATGTTTAATCCAACAACGAACACACAACAATGAGAAACAAAATAGAAAATTAATAAATCAGTTAGAAATTTAAGAACCAATAACCTTGAGCTGGATAATTTGCAGGTGATTCAAACAAATAAAAAAGCTGTCTTTCTCTTCTTAATCCTACTAATTTTCTTGTTTAGAAGGATTAGCTTTCAAATTCTTTTTGGCCTTCTTTAAGGGCTGCTGATGTTGAGTGCAGTAACTCATAATTGATAGATAATCTAGTCGGATAATCGAGCAGCATTCAATGATCACCTCCTACTCAGTCACCATATTACTAGTTTACTAGTTTACACTAACAAATTGCAATGATTTTCTCCTCCTTGGTCACCTTTTACTAATTTACACTAACAAATAGCAATGATTTCATCCTACACAGTCATTGCAATGATTTCATCCTACTCGGTCACCACATTATTAATTATATTCTCCTACTCAATCACCACATTACTAGATTACAATAGCAAATTGCAATGATATTCTCCAACTCGGTCACCAAATACTAGTTCACACTAACATATTACAATGATCCCCTCCAACTCAATCAACATATGATAGATTAATTCACTAGCAAAAAGCATTAATTTCCTCGTATTAAGTCACCACATTACTAGTTTACACTAAAAATTTGCAATGATCTCCTCGAACTCGGTCACCACATTACTAATCTACAATAACAAAATTGCAATGATCTTCTCCTACTTAGCCGACATCATATCACTATATTGCACAAACAAACGAAATTATTGATCTTTATCAATTCCTTAGCAAACTAAGAACTAAATTAATTCCAAAATCTACACTCAAAAACCCCAATCAAAAACCATGCGATCCCACAAATAATATAACTTTCTTCAACAAATCAACAAAATAATAATAATAAAGTGAGATTAACAGTAATCAAAATCACTAGGGTTTAGAATTCAAAAAACAAAAATAGGAATAACAAAGAAAATAGGGGATTGACCTCGGAATTAGAGACAGAATCGCCGAAGACGGCGGAGAAGGCGGTGGTTGCCGGAAAAGATGCCCTAGATTGGAGGAGAAGGAGAAGTTAAGTGATTAAATAGGTTGTGTATTTATACGACGCGACGCGTTTACTTTGTTGATTTCAGGCGCGAGACCAACACTCGGCGTTCAGTCGTTCACAACTTCAACTTGCAATTTTGCACGTGGGTAGGTTCGAACCTCTCTCTCTACCCAGGTTTTGCTCTTTTATTTATAAAATAAAAAATACGGAGTAAAAAAATTTTGTTTATCACGAAAATGCAGTGGGGATCCTTTTCCTTAAAATACAAGTGCATCTTTGTGATAATCAAAATTTGTGTTATCTACTGTCATTTTCGTAAGTAAATCAACCAAACATCCCAGTTAGCATGATATTTTTGTAATTATTTCAGCAATGTCATGTTGATTGGGATGTTTTGCTGATATATTTATAAATATGCCACTAGATAAACAAATTTTGTTTATCACAAAGATGAAGTGGGGCTCCTTCTCATTTCCATACAAAAAATGCATAAATAAATAAACACAATATAAATTACATAATACTCCGTAGTATGTTATTATTTACATAGGGTTTGTTCTCTTCGGCTTAATTTCAGTGCAATTCCTAATTTCCTTCTCTCATAAACAATTCAGTTCATTCAGTTCAGCTTAGTAAATCAGAACATGCCATTAATTTCTACTCCATAAGAAGTATGTTGCAATTGATTAACAAGTATCTTTTATTTATTTCTAGATTTTATGCTTTCCTAATTTGAATAGGATTGTAATTAGAAAACTAGATAGATTGTAAGAATATGATCAATCTAGGATTATTTAGGCTTGAGGAGTCTTATTTTGTATGAACTTAATAAAACTATATTTTTGATTGAGGGGAGGAAATTCCTCATAACACTAGTCTCTTTTATTATCGTGTTTTGCTTTTTATTTTACATTATATGAGAAGGTGAGTTCCCAAATCGTTCCATGCACACTTCCGTTATAACACAAGTAATGGATGGTTGTATAATGAATATGACCGCACATCTCTTAAATACTTCATAGCTCTTAATTCGTGAAATTTTGGAAGGGGAAGAAAAAGTTCATAGGATCCTGGGACTCCATGGGAGCGATGACTAAATGAGTACTAGTAGGCTTTCAATTCGGCCGGTAACTGTTACCACTTAATCCATATGAGCTTACTTTAGACGGCAGCATGGCACGATCTGCTTCGAAGAAGTTCCTGTCTTTATCCATAGTAAAAATAATGGAACTCATAAGGAAATACCTTGAATCAAGACTCAAGGTTTTATTCGGTTTTATTTCGATATCATTTCTTCTGATCAAGATACAATACAAAGAGGTACTTCATTTGGACCTAAATTAAACCCGCCACATTGATATTCCTACGCATTGCCAAAGGCCATGATAAAGAGAGATAGGACTGATAAACAATGCAAAGAGCTTGGTTTAACAATTTCGTATCAATAATAGAGAATTGGCCAAAAGTCTAAATAGACAGCCAAAGAGCACAAGAAAATATATCATTATGCATACATACGAAGTTATGAATTAAATCCGCAAAAACAAAATGTTTGCTTCTCAAAAATCTGTCAAAGGTACTGACTTTCTATTTTACAGTGACAAAACACGGAATTTAATGAAACCAACTCGGAAGCTACTGAAATTGCCTAGTACATGAACAGGGTATACTCTAACTGAAACCTAATTATATACATTCACAATATCAGCATTAATTCACTCCATAAGTATGTGAGGCTAAATTTTAAACTAGGGCATCATCCTATACATCGTCCATGTTCTGATCATTGTCATGATCACCATCATAATACTCATCATCCCTCTGGATCATCTTATCCTGTGTGTGCTCTGAAAACATGATTTAACAGATAAAATAAGAACCGCAGAATAAGATTACAAGTCGTCAGATCAAGTACAAATGGGTGTGTAGTGTAATAAATTGTTTTGTGAGACTTACGACTAATGCGTTCATCAGGATTCTCATCTTCATCTAAGTCAGGAATATAAAAATCAGGGGGGACCTGCAATGAAACTAAATCTCATCAGCTCACCTTTGCCAGAATTGATGTATTGTTCAGATAGCAGCCAATTTCTTAAGCAAAACACAATGCTATCCAACATTCCAACATGACTATTGACACATTGTAACCCTCCATCATGAGCAAGAAGATGTGTAACATAATTTATTACAGAATTTTGCATCAACCCAATGTGCACACAACTGAAAGACACTTACAAAGTAAATGCATATTCCACGGATAAAATTTCTAGCAACACATTTGTAAACATGCAAGCAACTTCAATTAATAACCTAAGTAGTAACTACATTTAAAGTAGAAACATCATAAAAGTATTCTTCCTACTGACCTCTTGCATCTGTACACTTGGTGCATGTTGGATACACCGAAGATTTTCGAGAACTTGCATCTTGATTGTTGTCAAGTATGATTTACTGTTCAAGTTCTCCTGGTCAATGAAACCAAACAAAAACACATTAATAAAGTATTGTCTATTACCTTTATTAATTAGAAAACAAGTCCACCAGACTAAAAAATTATCAAGCCTATTTATTGTGATTTATAGTCTACATGGACTTGGGACCTCGGGTACCCATGTCTGACACGTGTACTCGTCCAAACTTTCTTCTCGGCTATTTTGTGAAAAACTTCCATGATTTCCAAGTGTCATACCCATATCCAAATGTCGAGGATTCGACACGGGTAATTGAGGTGAAATGACGAATCCATGTAACATAGATCATAGTTATCCTTCTCAATGTACATACTCATAATGTTAACATTCTAACAAATTACATAATAATATTTACAGATATTAATCGTCAAACTTGTACGTTGTCAAATATGATAATAAAAACGGAGGAAGTAGGTCACATTTGATTAGAGGTCATTCTTAAAGAATACAGTTAAAACACAAAAATGATTAGAGGTCATTCTTATTTTTTTACTCCACCATGACACATTATAATTAAGGAGAATACTACCTCCGTTACATATTATGTGCAACTTTTGGGTATTATTTGTGAAAAAAAAAAGAAAAAAAAAAATGGAAAATAAAATAAAATAAAATAAAAAATCCAAAGTTGCACATAATTAATATGTAATAGAGGTAGTATGAAAGTTTGAAGTTTAACAAAAATAAATATATCAAGAGACAGCCTGCTGTTTTGAAACTGTACAAAAATATGAATAAGGCCTATGATTCGGAATGAAGATTATATTATTATACGAGACAAAAGTTAAGAGCAAAAACCATACTATGTGTCCATTTGGAATCCTCAATGAATAATCTGGTCCAAAGTATTTGATATACTCATTCTCTGGAATCTCTGTATGAGGGAAAAATAAACATTCAGCACAACAATGAAAGGCATCAAGACATATAGATGACTGGAAAAGAAAAATAACTGGAAGTCAGCAGCTAGGAAGAATACCATTTGGTAAATCTGTATCTAAAAGAACTCCTGTTTCAACAGTCCAGCATCGAGCAACATTCTCCTTTGTGTAGCCACCTCCTCCAGTAACCTGATAACAAGATCTGTCAGGACAATGTAGTTCATATAAGCAACATAACCACCAAAACATATAATTTCCCTGAAACCTACCAGCAAGGGAAGATTAAATTTCTTCACAAACCTAACGCACTCTGCATGCCCTGTTATTTGTAACATCATCAACACAACTATTATTACTTAGTCTTCCAAAAATCTACAATGCACTTTTATGCCAACAAAATTACCAGAAAGTAATAAGACAATATGATCAAATAACATAAACCAGCACCATCGATAGAGAGGTTGAAGCAGCCTAATCTGTCACCAGCAAGTGAATCTGCACCACATTGCAGAACAATCACTCCAGGCTGATAAAATTCAACAACCTTGGAAATGATCTGCAACATTGAAATAAAGACAAGAATTTAACATTGCTTGTGGTGCAACATATCTTACAGTTTGTATTAGCTTGGTGGCCTCTGAAATATAACATACCGTCTTGAACAGCCTAGTAAAGCTAGTGTCATCAATACCATCCTTGAGAGGTACATTTATGGCATAGTATTTCCCTTCCCTTTCCCCATTTTCCTACATGAAAAATGACAACAAATCAATATCAAAGAAAAGTTTTCCTGATTAAATTACAATGTAAAAACCTTTTTACATCTATTTGAGCTGCTTATAGAAATACCAAATAGCAAAAAAATCTGGCCAACCAACACACAGTCTAGGGTAAAAAAACACCAGTAATACCAGAGAACAAAGCAATCAATTTCATATGTAATAAGACAAAAGGTGACTAAAGATCCAACCTTGACATCTCCTGTTCCTGGAAAGAAGAGATCTCCAAATTTATGGAAACTGACAGTCATCACCCTGGAACAAAAGGCATGGAAGAACTGAGATGCAGAGTAAACTATGCAAGCACCAAACATATTTAGTTTTGCCATATAGAGCCCTAATTAAACTCGTTACTCCAGAATCCAGATGGCATGTTAAATTGTTAAAATCCCACTAAAATACAATTATATAGTTCCAATATGCATTTTTATCCCAACATCAGTTAACATTCGACAATAAAATACCTAGCAACATCTCACCTTGAGCTAACAATATAATCGTGAAAAAATTCTATATGTTCAAATTCGCAGCATGATGCCAAATGGATTTTCAACTCTAAAGAAGTGGCATACCTATCAGTGAAATAGAATGCCTCTTCAACACCATCCCCATGATGCACATCAATATCAATGTACAGAACACGGGCATGGTACTTTAAAAGCTCTAAAATCCCCAAAACCAAGTCATTGATGTAACAAAATCCAGACGCCTCACATTTTTTTGCATGATGCAATCCCCCCGCCCAGTTTATAGCAATGTCACAAAGGTGATTATTCAACCTACGAGCAGCATCTGCCAGGAATTAACACAATCATTAGGATAAAATAACACAAATCAAATTGTTTAGAAAAAGGTCCTGAAACTACCAATGGTTCCGCCAGCATAAATTTGGCAAAACTCAAACAAATTGTCGAAGACAGGACAATCTTCTCCAAGATTATCTGAAAGAAAGGGAAATCTTTTGTCAGCCAGCTCACACATGCAAATAAAAGGGGAATTTGTCATATGCCAATAATAGACCAAAAGGCATATCAGAAGACCAAATAAAGGCAATTAAATAGAAGGGTAGAAAAGAGGGCAAAAATTTTGAGTTGAATTGAGTAAAAAGAAAAGTGTGGATGACAGATGGAGCGTATCATAAATAAACCCAAGTTTGCTTCATGAAAAATTAATTAATGAGATGACATCACAAGAGAATAAGGACACCTAGGACTAAATAAAACATGCAAAAGATGTAACTTACCTACCAATTTATCAGATCAAAATAGAATTAAACATGTAAAATCAGTTTTCTTTTTTTCTTTTTTTTTTCAAAAAGATTACCATTTATGCTGGTAAAAACAACAAATAATTGAGTACTTCAAATCCTTCTCTCAATATTTTTGAAACACTGAAGTGGCAATAAGAAGAAAAAGAGGAAGTAAGCTCAAAAGTATAGAAACAACTCAATAGATGGTTCAAATGGAGGAATTTGCAGCAAAAGAAATCATGGAGTACGAAGTGCTCAAAATTGACTTGACTTTGCAAAAAGGCTTAATGAGTGCAGCTAGAATTACTAATATTAATGAAAGCTCCTCCTAACAGCGTAGCAGAAATCGGAAGTTTTCGACAAAAGTGTGAGCATTTATGCAAGCTGTGAGGCAAAAGTAATTATTTCAAACAACAGTAATCTCACATAAGAACCTTTTCTTCTAGCATACAGCTTATTTTGTAAATAAGGCATTAAGACGCTAATGCAATAAGACCAATGCCAAAAAGTCCGTCTCACAGCACTCTCTCGAAAGAGTTCTGAATGTTCCAGACTGGCCATTCCCTATTGCAATAAGGCTAAAAAGCCAAAATGTGCGTCTAATACCATTCTCTTGAATAAGTTCTCCGGATTGGCCACCCCCATCATTTTCCCTAAAGATCATATTTATATCTAATGACATAATGCCATAAAAATTTTGCAACCCTCCGGGACATCATATAAGCAAACCCTTAGAGTTAAGTGTATACAGTTATACACTAAGTCCAAATTCATTAAATGATCACCTACCATTACCATACCCTAAGGAGGGAAGATACCTTATCAACCTCCAGAGATTTTTAATTTTTAACTAAAATGGATTATATGAGAATCACTAGAGAAAAAACAAAAAAGAGAGGGAGTACAAACAACGAGATATACATATAACCAAACCCTTAAAATTTAGTTTATAAACTAAGTCCAAGCTCATTAAATGGTCCTTGGTCCTTACCATACCCTGAAGAGAAAAGTCGAAAAGATACCAAAATCTTAATCAACCTCCAAAGTTGTAAAGGAAGATATCCTCTCCAAAGGGTAACCCATGTACGTTGAAGACCAACCCTTGATCTTTATTTCTTAAATATGAATACTTTAGTAAGAAAAGACTAGGATGCTCACAAGTTTCCCAAAAATTAACAATTTCTTATTCAAGATTCCATTATTCCCAAGAATAAACATGGGACACAGGCCTTTGACAGCTTTGCCACTTTGACCCTGGAACTTATAAGCCATTACCTCAGCTATTTACAGAACATTACCCCAGTATTATTAAGAGAATCCTGTGCAACTTCATTAGCCTCTTTACACATTACATGAAAGGACAATACCACCCAAACATTCCATTGAAGTAGCAAAATAGTACCATTTTAAAAAATTTAGCTATTTCTAGTTTCCTCTAGTTTCCTACCATCAAAATATATCCAATTAACTTTAAGCAAATCCAAGAATTAAGTTCCTGACATTGGAGATTCCCTAAGCTTCTCCCAGTGTAGGTCATCATCAGTAAAGCATCCACACAACAAAGAATCATTAATTTCAGGACTAGAATCAGACCCACCATCTATGTTACTCCAACTCTTAATTAGTATGACACATCATTTTCGGAACAAAATTTACATAAAACGGCAATGACATTTGCGGACACATACCCGAGTGAGACACTTCTAGAAGAGTATGAGCAACATAGCTCACCATCATTAACATAGTTATCAAAAAGACTAACTTGAATTTAATACTAATAGCCACTTCTATTGAATAGAATATTCATGTTCCTTAACAAAACAAAGACGAAAAGCTATGCTCAGCCGAGAGAATAGAGTACTATAACTTTACTCTTATACCTTATGAATAGACAAGACCCTTTTACCTCATGATACGATAACTTTACCCTTATCATTGACTACATGAATTAAAAACCCTTGAATTGCGTTACTTATGGACTCAGTAATGGTGCGGCCATTGCACGTCAAGTCAAGTACCTACACTCACTAGATCACACAAATTGCTTAAGCACCAATGTCTCTGCTGCCTCACATAGTATCTCAAAAGCCTTCTTTACAACTCTATATCTGATTAAACCCTAGCTACCCAAAAGATTCTCCATCAAGTCTTAAATCTAGAAAACACTCACTCAACTTAAAAGTTAAGGAATGGTTCGTAGTTACAAACATCTATTTAAGTACCTAATCGGCTAATCCATTAGATTGAGAACTCGCCATCCTTACCACCATTAGCCATCACATCACCCAACACCCTATCAAGCGCCACCTAAAATCCACCCTCACATCAGCCGTCCTCTCCTAGAACAACAATCGAAACCCTATTCTCTCTTGACAGCAACCCTAATTCCAAAAATCCCCATTTTAAGTACCAAAAAGCTTCAACTCTAGTACTCTACCAATCTACTCCCCTTATTAAAAAATTAAAATTAAAATTTATAAAAAAGAAAAAACAAAACAAAACAAAAACAAAAACAAAACCAACCACGAGTTTCTTGAAACCATTGTGCCATTACCACATACCCCCACCATCATAAAGCGTTTGCTAGGCTTCATTCCTTAATCCTTAGTCATAGCAAATCCACAATCATTTTAAGTTCTCAAATGACAGATCAAAAGATTCACATCTATCTATACGTAGGATAACCTCAAAGGTCTAACTAGAAGATAAAGGACATAGGTCAAAAAAGGTGGGCACAAGAATAGAATAAAATGAGAAATGAAAGCGACAATATGGAGAATTGTCTACTTGTGAGTTCTTAAAATGGCCTCTGCATCTAATACATAGTGCTAGAGCTACAAGTAAAAAAAAAAAGTCAAAGGACAAGGGAAACATTGAATCAAACATTACTTGCACTTCAAGAGATCAAAATCAAAGAACGGTTTCACAATTTTAAGGACAATTATAACACCCCTAAGCCCCAGAAGGAAGACTATTGTATATACCGTCCCCTTAAGAACCTTATCGACTCCCTTGATAAAAAAAACATAAGAGGAAGAAGAAAGATGTATTCGATGTAGATAGAGAAATACAAGTGGGGAAACAAAATAATGAGGGAAATATTACCAATCATCATGTTTATCAATCACAAATTGTCAGGCAAACTAATAACTTATAATAAGTATTGAAACTAAAGAATTCACAGTCTAAACACTGGTGGGATTCTAAATACAAATAGGAAATTGCAAGACTAATAGGTTCCACATTTCTAGTTGGACTAGTTATGGAAAAGAGTTAAGTTAATAATATCCCACATGCTTGTGATGGACTAGTGATGGAAAAGCTGATATCCACAACTATAACTCCATGCCCAAAAAAAAATATAGGTCCCAATATGATAGTTCAGTCCACATTATATTTCACATATCAAATTAAAATTCTTATAGTTCTTCCCCTAGAAGGTTCAAATGACAAAAAATTTAACCACTTTAAAGTAGACAATCACTTCTGTTTAAAAAGTATGTACCAAAGTTGTTAAGAAGACTCAAAACTTTAAGCAAAAAAAATACGCCTACTAGCCCAGCTAAAAAAAATAAAATACACACAACCTCTCTCTTAGAATATTCCTTGAGGTTAAAGTACATTTCCCAATTGTTGTTGTTTATTTATTTATTTATTTATTTTATTTTATTTTTGCATAGCAACTAATTGGCTCATAATTTCAATTTTGAACTCGTTTCTATAGCGTGCAATTGCATAAAGGATTTCAACCATATATACTTTTAATTATCAACTTAACAACAGTGGAAAAAATACATGAGGATCAGCAAACCAAGAAACTTAACTTTTTTTTAAGACAAGGTGTTTACAACTTCAATTACATTTTTGCAACATTATAATGTCAATCTTATAACTATACTCCACAACCTCCTCACACATAACCAAATGCTCCTCACCTCTCAAGAGCATATACATAACCCAAAGTACGCTAATGCCTTAAAATATGATAGTTCATTATCCAACCCATTGGCATTATTTTATACATGAACTCTATGTTTGGATAACAATAGGGAAGGGAAAATGAGGTGAGTTGAGTTGAGGGAGAAGGTGAACTTCTATTTTCCTATCTCTCCATCAATAGAGAGATTTGGTTTATTAAAGGGCGGAGGAAAATGGAACCTACTAATTCCTTCCTCTTCTCTCCTTCCAAAAGATATTCAAACAAAAGATGACATATCCTTCCTTCTCTCTTCTCTTCCTTTCCCTCCCTTTCTCTCTATCCAAACATAGTAGAACTTTCCTTGACTATGTTTCAACTGTTTCTTTCATTTTTCAGCATTATTTATGTTTACTATTGATGGAAAAGTACTTTACCTCTTTAATTACTATCTCTACCTCTTTTTAAGGTACACACATTTCAAGGTTAGTACTAAAACTCTAACAAAAACACCCTTTAAAGGCAAACTGGCAAAGGGAGTATATAACAAAAAAAAACAGGGAAAAGTACCAAAAACAATCATACTCAATTAAACAGACATTCTAAATCTAATGCACATAATGACACCCTCTTGTGGACAATTGAATATTTGATTGACTAAAAGGAAAAAACCTACAGAAAAATGATTTCTCTATGCTAAAATGTAAATGTGGATTCAATTAAAACCACTTTTTCATAGAGTTCCCAAAAAAACATCACAAATCACATTCCTCAGCCAGTCAATTCTCCTACTCCGGCAGAGCGCTAGCAGTACATCAAATTAATAAATTAACCACAACAAACGCATTATATACTTTCCAATGTCACACCAACAAACTCAAATATACAACAAAGCTCAACAAAAAAATACTTTAAAGCAAGCATACATTTGGCCATTTCAGTCATGAATCGATGCTGTTTTTCGGGCGTAATTCGATGCAAAAACTCGACATAATCAGCCGAATGAAACTGCGCTAACTCTACCGGATACGCTTTATGAGGCCTCTGCACCGTACAAACTCCACAAAAACCACATATAATGAGCAAGAAAACACAGAAATTCCAAAAAACAAAATCAATAAACCCATAAAACTATACCACTTACATAAATTTCCATCTTTTTGTGAAGATCGTAGGACAGAACAAGGTGATGGGTCATACATAATCTGTGAGGCTTCATCGGATGATTCGGCCCAAAATATACACTCCCAACATCACCTACAAAACAATTGAAACGATTAATTACAACAAAGGTATGAACTTTCGAAGGAAGAATTGGAGGAGAGAGAAAAATTAAGGTTTCAATCGGATAAAAAAGGGGGATTTGGAAAGATACCATCGTAGAAGTAAGAGATTTTATCTTTGGAGCGCATGTTTGGAAAGTAGTTGGTGTAGCTGAAGAGATGAAGAGGCAACTACAGTAGCATATGTATCAGGTAGTTTTCGCCATTGCAGGATAACTGGAGCAGCAGAAAATGGAGTGTGAGAAAAAGAGAGTTTTGGAGCGCGGGTAACAAAATACCACCCGATTCGTATGTAATCAAAATTTCAGATCGGGTTTGCGTTAGGCAAAATTTAGCCGTGAAAGTAGACCGAGGGTGTTTGACAATTAGATAATCCGGGTAAGAATTACTACCCGATTGGTATGTTCAAGGTGATCAAAATTTCGGATCGGATCGAGTCGTGTCGGGCCATTACAACTAAAAGTAATGGGCTTGTTGGGTTAAAGTGGACTTTTTGAGTTACGGGTCATGTTTTGGGTGTTTTTGTCCCTCGGGAGAGTTACGTCACGAAGTCTGATCCGGCTGAGTTGTACCTGCAAAACAACGGAGACTCCGGGTGGTAGGAGCTCCGCCTCTGACGATCAAGTTAGTAACTTGAAAGGAAACAAAGAGTACGAAAATTTAGGTGGGCACATGCTTGGATTCCAAGCTCAGGTGCTTCTCTGATGTGAGAGAATGTAGGTGTAATAAATGATTGAATGTATCCCCTAAATGGGGAAATATCTCCCTATTTATTGGGTCATTGGAGAACGTGCCCCTATCTAGGTCACTTGACCTAAATTTCAGTGGGTTGCGCCGTAAAACGGCGCTTCTTGGGATTTGGGCCCTTGAAGACCGCCATTTCAGAGATGTATCTAAGGGCGCCACGTGTCAAGAGGATATTAAGCCACATGGGCCATCCTGAACTCGACACGTGGCCTCCTCTCATTGGTCCACGTGTCTAGGGTATTTTTACCCTAAACAGATCGGGTTTGGGTTTTTATTTAATTAAAAATACTACCTTTTGTTTTATACTATTTGCAATAATTAGAAATTTTTCCTCTCTTATTAATGTCAAATCGTTACAAATAATATGAAACGAGTGTAGTACGAAGTATATTTTTAGGCTTGTCTAAACCTGCAAATTTAATATGGTCCCACGACCAGCATAGTTGCCTCATCATGACGTATCCCCAACAAATATGAACATTTATTATATTAGGATAAAAAAAAATGAATATTTAGTAAATGAACATATTTGAAGTAACATTGAAAACTACAAAAGCATATGATATTTGTGGTAAATATTTTGTTAAATAACAATTAACACTTTTTTTCTCAATGAAGAATGAATTTCAAAGCAAAAGAAAACAATTATCTAAAACTTGAAATTAACACTGCAATATATAAAAATGAACATTTATAATATAAGAGCCAAATAAATTGACTTTGAAACTAAAAAGAAAAAAAATTGTACATCTAATATTATATACTTAACATTTTAGTTGTAAATAAAAATGAATATATAATATTGTTGCTTATTCATCAATAAATTTTTTAAGCTTCATGTGAAATATCTTGTTTTGTTGAATTATCTTGAATGGATGTCCATCCGTCGAACTACATGATTTAGTATTAATTAAATTAATCAACAATATGTTTTTTTTTAATAATGAACAAAAAGCTTTATTTAAAAAATAATAATTATAATGAACAAAATGCTAATGTCTAACATTATCCTTAACTATAAAAACAAACATTTTACACAAGTGAACAAACACAAAATAGTGTATTAATTAAATAGAAAAATGAACATTATTGTATAAGAATAGATATCATACAACATGAAAATGAACAATTTTTTTATAAGAACAAATAACATAATGCATAAACATTAAATTATTGAAAAATACAAAAACATTCGTGATACAAATGAACATATAATTTTAGATTTTTGAAAGTTGAAATAAATAAGATTTTTTTTTTAATTAACGCGATATACAAATAAAGAGTCCTTTCCCTAAATAATGTTGGGAAATTATCTAATTCCCAAATTATAGCTACTCTTTTTTTAATTCCCACCCTACCGTCCACGTCACCGGTTTAGTTGGGATTTTTTTTAAAAAATGGGTTTATTAGAAAACCGCTACTTCAAGTAGCGGTTTACATATTAGAAACCGCTAGTTGAAGTAGCGGTTTGTATTTACTAATTACTGATTTACAGATATTTTGCTTTTAAAGAAAACTTACAAAACAAATCCATAAACCGCTACTTGAAGTAACGGTTTGTTGCTGGACCGAGAAAAAAAAATGGTTTGTTTTCCTTAGCTGACGTGGACGGTATGATGGGAATTAAAAAAAGAGTAGCTGTAATTTGGGAATTAGATAATTTCCCAACATTATTTAGGGAAAGGACTCTTTATTTGTATATCGCGTTAATTAAAAAAAAAAAAATTCTTTCAAATTAGTAACCAGTTGTTTTGGATTTTACATAGTATACCCTCTATTTTTTTTTTTATTTTTTTTTCCAATACTACTTCAAATAAATTTCAAATTGTTTTAGGATCACAAAATTAAATTTTCTTCTAAAGGGAAGATAAAATTTTATTTTACCACAAATAATTACAAGCATGATTTCACTACCACTTAATGAATTCTTTCCCCTATTTTTTTTTTGTAGGAAATTAGTCCTTTAATTTATCATAGTAATAGAGATTATATTCATCTATTTTCTTCTTTCTTCTCCAATATTTTTATTTTTTTATTTTTTTGAGGGAAAGATATTAAGGGTTTTTGATTTCACTACTACTAGCTTAGGACCCGTGCCATGCACGATAATTAAAAAAAAACATGTAAAAGTATCATCGAAAAAATACAACTTTAACATAGGTTGAGTTTTATTTCTTCTTATTTTGATATAAAATTAAACATGGAAGATAACAAAAGAGTTGATTAGACCATGAGTATATTAAAATTATGTAATACACCCAATGGGTAGGATAATAATCCCAGTTTAATGATATTTGGTCAATATTTTTTCCCCAACAAAATATAATAATATGATAATATTTATAAAAAAAATTTAAAATTGCATATATAAGATTAGGGTTTATAATAGATTAATAATTATAATGTTAAGATATATTGTTGTACTCCCTTCATTGTTCATTCCAGTATGTTTTTTGCATATAGTATAACTAGATGAAGCCCGTGCGCTGCACGGTTTGTTTAAATTTTATTTTAAAAAAATTTATAAATATATTTATGTACTAAAATTTCTTATATATTTAGATAAAATTCCTGATATCAAAAGATAATATTTTTTATTTAATTAATTTAAACTGGAAAACCTCATTCGTCAATTTTGCCTACGTGTCATTTAAATTATTTAATTCTAAAAGAAATTAATAATCTCGTATTTAATTGGCTACCACTAAAATTGTTTATCTTACATGGCGCGCTAAAAAATTAAATCCTATATGGCTCTCTAAAAACTCGGGAAAAAACACCCCTTTTTATATATACATATAAAGCCCGTGCGATGCACAATTTGTTAGTATTTTTTTTAAAAAAAATCATATATATGTGATTAAAATTGTTATTATATTAGTTTTAAAATATTAGAAAATTCCTAATTTCCTCAAAAAAAAAAAAAAAAAAAATTCCTAACCTCAAAAGATAATATTTTGTACTTAATTAATTTAAACTTTAAAATCTCATTCGCCAATTTTGCTTACGTGGCATTTGAATTATTAAATTGTAAAAGAAATTAATAATCTCTTATTTAATTGGCTACCACTTAAATTTATAATCCTACATGGCGCGCTAAGAAAATTAAATCCTACGTGGCTCTCTAAAAATTCGGGGAAAAACTCCCCTTTATATATATATATATATATATATATATATATATATATATATATATATATATATATATATATATATTAGATTAGGCGAGAAACCAATTAATTTTTTTTAAAAACAAAATTCCCATTTTATATTAAAAAAAAAATTTCTAATCAAGATATTAAGAGAAAAATTGCACGGGAACTTAAATTGTTGTGCATTTAATATACTTTGTAATAGTGGAAAACATAAATAAATTTATAATCAAAATAGAATAGTGTTATTTTTGACCAAGAAAGAAATAGAATGATGTTATATTTTTTTCCCAAAAAATACATCCTATTATGTTATTAGTACTTAAGTAGGAAATTTTATAAAAAAAAAAAATATTGAAATTTATCAATGAAAAATATTGCAAGAACAAAATCACAATAACAATAACAATAATAATTAATTCATCGGGGTTTTATTAAATATTGTTTCACAATTACCTTATTTAAAATAATTCCTATTAATAATTGTAAAGAATAAAATATGATGTATTGTGCTCTTTAAAGATATGGCATATGGAGTAATATTTATAAGATACCGTGCCATGCAGTAATCTACAATTATACTCCGTATATAGTTATAGCTTATTAATTGATAAATATTAATCATAAATTAGTTGATGAATAATATAAGTATGTGATATGTCGATTTTTTAGTTGTAGCTTCTAATACACAACTAAAACAAAAGTAGGCAAAAAATTTGAGCATTTGTGATGTTGTAAAATAGGCCACAAAATTGTTTTAAGAATACAATTTTTATTGTATAGCTGTTCAAGTTTTTAAAGATGATTTGTGAATTATAAATATAATAATTACTACGTATTAATATGGAACATTTTTTTTTGTAAATAATTTGTTTCCTTAAGCAATAGATTTTTTTTTTATTAAAAAAAATAGCTAAGGACACACCAGAGATGACATGTATCATTTAGTATATAATTATTGATTGATGATTATTGATTGATTAATTGATAATACAATTAGCACTTCCTTGTAGAATAATAAACCTAGCATATCTAACTTATTCTAGAATTATCATAAGGTTATAATGGACATCTACTAAATATATATTATATAACAAAAACTAAAATTGGAAAAAAAATTATTATTGATTAGTTGTGTTGAAAATGTTTTTAAAATAGTATACGTTATATTACAGTAATGATGCATGTTAATCTCAATATAATTATAGACGACGTATGACTTTTTATTTATGAATCAATTTAGTTAAAAAAAAAACCCCAAAATACAATGTACTTCAAAAAAAAAAAAAAAAAGCTAAGTAGATTTTTTTTTTTTTTAAAAAAAAAAAAAACTTAAACTTGCCATCATATATTGAATTGGCAAATTTTTTTATGATAGTTTGACATATG